AGGAGACCATGGATGAACTCCCGCTGCAACGAACCTTGTTCCCAGGAGGTCATCTGGAATTGTAGCCATCTGGAAGACAGTGGTCTTCCCCAGAGGGAGGACCACCAAGTACTTAACCTCTGCTCCTATCTGGAATGGCCAAAGGGCCACTTGGGGAAGTCTTTGAGTACAGGATAAAAGAGACTCTTCGGCATTCCTGCGTTGGTTTGCCCGGAAACTTGTACCTGGCATGAAAGGGAGGGTCGCGGATTCAAAAGGCAAGGAAGAGTCCCGCGCAGAAGAAGCGCAGGGTAGGGCCGGAGGCTGACACTGCAGAAGCTCACTACGGCCAACAGCCACTCTGATGAAGACGAGGATTCTCGCTCGGGCTGAAGTAAAGCCCTCTTCCCTTCCCTCCCAACATACAACAGGAGTTACTGCTCCTCTGCGGGGTGGGCCGCGGGCACTTGAGGAGCAGAAACTTTTGACAGAAAAGGGGAGGGAAAGAGAGAGAGAGGCTGAAGGAGTTTGTGCACAGGAGCGGAATTTTATAAACTTCCCAGTGAATCCAGAAAAGGGGAGGGAAAGAGAGAGAGAGGCTGAAGGAGTTTGTGCACAGGAGCGGAATTTTATAAACTTCCCAGTGAATCCAGAAAAGGGGAGGGAAAGAGAGAGAGAGGCTGAAGGAGTTTGTGCACAGGAGCGGAATTTTATAAACTTCCCAGTGAATCCAGAAAAGGGGAGGGAAAGATGGGAGGGGGGTTGTTTGGAAGTTCCTAAGAAAATGGCGTCATCTGAGGCGGATCTCCGGCTGACTCCCACGACTAGCCGCCAGGAAAGGGGCTTAGGGCGCGGGCGGAAGATTCAGAAAAAACCAGCTGCCAACCCGCCTCACCTGATCGTGAACTCGCGCCTGTCCCGACCAGACACCGGTTACTTAGGCCAACCAAGGTTCTCGTTCCCGCAGATTCCCCTTTTCCGCTGTCAGGCTCGGTCGACTTTCCCAGCCATTGTTGCCAGAGCTTGCAAACGCTGAGGCCGCCACAGCCGTCGGATTCAAACCAACCGCCAGGCTTCACGCATGCGCCGTCGCCTCTAATGCTCCTGAAGGCTTTTTTCCATCATGGCGGTTTCTTCTTGCCGTATAACATCATGCTCCACCCCAACCCCCCCAAGTGGCCGCCAGTGTTTTATGCCGAAGTAATGTGTATGTGGGGTGTGGGGGGAGAAGGAGGAATAGCAAAAATCCGAGCAAATAATTTTTAGGATCCGGGCGGTTTGTCGTGTATCGGCACAAAACGCTACATATCGATTTGTCGCTGCTTACAAGCGAAAGCCTACAGGCAAACAAAAATGAATAGGAGAGAATCATTGGTAGGAATCGTTTCTTATAAGGTTGGAGAGAGGCTAGGCTTCCGCGACGAGGTGGCCGAGTGGTTAAGGCGATGGACTGCTAATCCATTGTGCTCTGCACGCGTGGGTTCGAATCCCATCCTCGTCGTTGTGTTTGTTTTACTTCGCCAGCTTTTATAAAACCGCAACTGCGTCTTTATATTATATAAATGCTTTTAGAAAAATAGCATCTTGTTATAACAGATTTGAATTAATTGCTGTTACTATACAGTTAACGTAACAAAAATGAACACTACAAGTAACCATCACCTATACAAATTATAGATGAAAAGTTAATATTGGAAATCAGGCATTTATCCATTTATTTTTCTAGGAAAATATGGACTAATTATTCAATTTTTCCATGACAATAGTCGTTTCAAAGACTGAGAGTGTACACATTTCATCTTTCAGACATGTAAATAAATTCCATATTTTTAAAATATAGCTGATTGATTTATCCAATTTAAAACAACTCTGGGAAGTTTACGACAAAACCAAAAGTCAAATCACAAACATCAACCTTTAAACAGAACACATTGCAGGCTAGGATCAACATCTCCATAAAACCTTTCAAAACACTTTTTAGAATTATTTTGGCACAGAGTTTCATGAGTCTGGAAATCCTTTCGAGAAAGCTCTTGCTGGTAGAAAGCTGGGCGCTCCAGCTTTCATGGTGGGTGGTAGGGGTTTGCTGTAACTCTGCTTTATATATTTTATAAAGTAAAGTTACTTCCCTACTTTAT